GCCTTCCCTATCCACACAGCTTTGAGCATATTTATTTACGTTTTACAGAAATGAAACTTAAAACCGCATGGCTCATTGGCATAAACTGAGCGCTTAAAAAACAGCTCACTATTGTGCGCTGATGTGGATTCAGCTTCTGTTGGACCAAAGGACACGACTCAGTGGAATATGAGTGTTCTTTCTGTGACAGAGGATGTGCTGCTGATGGTGAGTCTGTTCTATGCTTCTATCACATTGGAGATGGTTCATGTGAAACTTTTCAGAGATTATAAGTCTGTAGGTCATAAGCATCAACTGTATATATGAATGGAAATATATTCTAGCCTCTTAGTGTTTTGAAGGTGAATTACTATGCGGCGCATAGACCTACATCAGTGTATCAGCGTTTTCAAGCGTCCACATGGGGACGGATCAGATCCATACTCAGATGAATTTGTGGTACCAGATTGTTCCGTCTCTGGAGTTGTTTTCAATAGGATTGGTGTGGACGAACACTGCATCCGCAACGAAAACGACTCGAATACGAACTAGTGTGGATGGGGCCTGAGAGCACGTATCTGTACTTTCTACTTCACTACATTCTAGATTTAGGCTGAAGAGTAAAAAGTACTTTTCTTTTTGGTTTGAGATCTGCTGAAACTGCTGAGACTTATTTTTAGCGCATTTAATATGAGTTTACATCCCAGCTTTGAGCAAACCAAACACACAAAAACAGCTAGAAAAATCAACAAATCAGTTGAGTCACTTATGATCCAATAAGTCAGTGTTTCCCAAACTTTGTTTCTGGGGTCAAGTCAGAAACATTCGCCACCCAAGTCAATAGACATTCGTAAATCACAAAATAAAGGTGGATTTGACAATTATTGAACATTAATGAGAATATTTTATTGTTGAGTGAGTGATAGTTTACTCAAGTTTTAAACAATGAAAAAGAGTAATTAAACCAGCAATAAAAGGTATCCACAAGTCACCTATTTGGACATTCAATGTAGCCCATTTCTTTTTCTTTTCAACATTCAACTGAACCAGCAATATTGGAACAAAATATTCAATAAAATAATTACAAAAAGATTCGAAATTATACAAAACATGTCTTAACATTTCAACATTTCTTATGAGATAGGTGGGACTGTCTGTGTTTTTGTAGTGCGTCTCAGTCCGGGTGCAGGAGGAGAACGCAACACACAGATTAGGAGCAGCATTCAGTCTGTTTCTGTGCTTTGTCTTCATTTTGCTGAACAGAGAAAATCCCAATTCACACATATATTTAGTAGTGAAAGGAATAAGCATAGAAATACTGGCCCTACAAAGAACAAGATATTCTGACGAAATGCTTATCCAGAATGAAGATAAAGTCACAGATGCACATGCAGATCGTAACAAGGCGACCCAGAAAAACTCTTGACCCAGTCCTTGGGAAACAATGCGCTGAGCTTATCAGAATTACGACATTTCATCCTTTAATTGTTCTAAAACTCTGCAAAATTGTAACGGGAAAATGCAGTTATTGCTTCTATGTGCAGTTATTCACAGTTTTCATTGTGTCTTTTTTATATCCTGTTTTCAAGAAAGCTGCTCTCCTTCTTTTAGGGGGTAACTGTCCTTGTACAAATTTTGGGGCATCATGACCCAGCAGAAACGCAGATGTTTCCTTTCTTTTGGTAATACTTGTTTAGACACAACTATACATGTTTTGTGAGTCTGACACTGGTTCAGACAGAGTTACAACCCTGTATTGAACAGACTCGTCCTCTGCCTCTTTGCAAAGATACTAAATAAACTTTTACTTTGTTGCTTCTACGGATGTTTATTTAAAATTTAAAAAGATCATTTTCCATTATAAAAATACTTTAACTTTTTATTCTTTAAAGGGCCCATCTCATGCAAAATAACTCTTTTCACGTTGTATCTTCTGCACATAAACAAGCACAATTTGGGTTTTGGAGCATCCATTACACAATAATTATGAAATCTTACTAATTTCTTGGAGACAGTCACAGACCAGGAACTATGAAAGTCCGACTATTACTCATCCCCTCACTCGTCCTGAGAAAGCACAGGCTCCGCCCTCCAAACGTGACGTAGGCTCTGAGTGAGCCGTCTTTCCTCCGCCCATCTCAGGGAGGGAGGGGGAGACAGACCTGCACCCTGATAGTGGTAGAAATAAACTTTTATTCATCATGGTGATACAGCGTGTTCAGCCGCATGTGTTGGACCTGGAATCGGACGAGGACTTTGAGGAGCACAAAGCTCAAGCACCGCGTCCACATCAGCTGAACATTACTGATTGGTAAAGTATTAATAAACACTAGTAGATAAACTTATTACATCGTGTACACTGCAGTGTAGAACAATGAGCTCATGCTGTCGCTTTTGTTTAGGTGTTCATGTGGGAATTGTCAACCGATGCGAGGTGGAGGGGGTGGAGGCGGTGGAGCAGGGGAGGGGGGCGAGTGTGAAGCGCCTTCTGCTACGTCAAATAGGTGTAGCAGCTTTAGTTCGTTGTCACATGGGAGGGTGGCAGAAATACGCTGCAATTTGTTAAAAAAAACAAACAAACAAAAAAACAAAAACGGCGAATCAATCTAAAAAAAACTTTGGTGACATGTACAAGGACCACACATCACTCTTAGAAGGTAGAAAGCTCTGAAAAGGTGATTTTGCATGAGATGGGCCCTTTAAGTATATTTTTAAACATATACTTTTACTTCAGTTGTCTTTTTCATGTGATACATTTACTTTAGTAACTTTTTGCCCCTGTATCTGTTCTTTTAGTTAAGTAACAAAACTGAGTACTTCATCCACCTCTGCTGAATGGATTATGGCTTTGTTAGAGGCATCTGGATTAGAAAGAGAGAAATTCAAGTTTTGCTGGAGCAACATTTACACTGCGCTTCTCAAGGCCTTTGTGTCTCAGTCAAAGTTCTCAGTGCAGTTTAACAGGAGGTCTGGTCAGGGAGGGTCAGCAGATCCTGTGGAAGAGCCAGAAGTGCCCCTCCTTTGTGTCCTGCAGCTTCACAGCAGCCTCCAGGGAGAACCAGGCGAACACAACACACAACAGGAAAGCCCTTGTTCTTATCCGCTCTGGTGTTTCGATTGGTGATGAAATGGGCCATTCCCTCAAAGTGTTAGATTTGTCAATGACACCCCTCACTGGCGTTAATGAGTGAAACGTGCCAAAATGGCCCCACAACTATTATCAACATGAAGCTAAATGTTCTCATGAGAATCCATCTTGGCTTGCTCTCAATGGTGCGATTGGGCCTGGGCGCCGGTGGGCTGGAGACAGGACCAATCACAGACGGCATTGTGGTTTGGGTGGAAGCCAAAAATGAAGCACCCAAATGAACCAAAACACACATGGCAACACAGACTAGCGTACCTCAGCCTGTTTACGCCGAAATACTGCCTGTTTTGTTGAAAAAGATAAGAGCGAGAAAGAGGGGAGATGTCTGTGCTTTTCTCTCATCTGGATGTAACAAAAGTTTGATTTCTTGCCTTTTTCAGCTGTTGTGACGCGCTTTAACCAATCAACTTGGAGCTTTGCAGAACTCAATTCAGAGTGCTACCAATCTGGCACGAACCAGCTTCGAAGTCCCTTGGAAATGAACAGAGAAAAGAAAGAAAGGGCAACGTCAAGAGTATCTGCCTTGCTCTTTCATTTTGTAAGCACAGTTGCGTTTATCTAGGGAAAACCAGTGTCCGATAGGAACTTTGTTTTCTGCTCCATCCATTTTGATTGGCCCAGACTTTGCCAAAGAGTGTACTGAGTTAAGGTAGTTGAGCGTCTATGTTCGTAACAATTGAAAAAGCCACTAAGTGCAGTTACTTCTCAAATAAATGGCAAATTACGCTTCTTGGTCTGAGTAATTGTGCATCTCTTGCTATTTTTTATTTGAAAGGTAATAAACCCCATGGAAATGTAAGAAGTGATGTGGCTCTGTGCCCTGGACCTGACACCAGCTGTTTCCATGACTGACATCAGGAAAGTAAAAGGGGCGATTTTTATTTTATTTTATTTTATTTTTTTGAGGGCAATAAAGATATTTTTAGTTTACTTACAGACTTGATATTTTGCACTTTTGTAGCTAAAGCCCTAAATTAAAAATTTTTTAATGTCCAAAAAGTTGTTTATAAATGTTTGCTGTGTGCTTTATATGAAAGAGTGTGAATTTTATTATTTATTTTATTTATTTATTTTCTTATTTGATTTGTATTTCCAGTCCTATAGCTTTTACTACAGCCATATGACACAACTACAGCATGCAGATTGTGAAATAACAGATTGTACTGAAAAAAAGGATGTATAACACTTCATTGGGGTGTAAAAGGGGGAGTTTTAAAAGCAAAATTAAGAAAATAATCCAGGCGAGGAAAAATGTATTAAAATAGCCCTTAGGTCTGGAAGAGTTAAAATGCAAGATTATGTTGTTATTTGGGTTTAGTCAGTAACTGAAAATATCAGATTCAAAATTTGTGACTTTACCTTCTGTTATTTCATGGTAAAGTACAATATAATCAATAGTGAAATCATCACATTTTAAAATCTGAAAACCACCAACAGACTGCATGGATTCCACTCCAGCTTCTAGTGCACTCAAGAGTGAAGTATGTATTTATGCAAATGACACAAATTATAATGATTAACAACTAAAAAAAGTAAGTTTTTCATTATACAAATCTTTTGAAAAGTTTCGTTTCAGTATTTTCAAGTGGCTTTGCACCTATTCATTACGGGATTGTAGATTTCCGAATTGGCCCGGCCTCCCTAAAGAAAAGCGAAATAAATGAGTTTTAGCCCAACTAATACAATCAAGCTTGGATGTGGAGATGTGATTATGGCGCCATAATTGAGTAGACACCTTTACCTCGCGTTACTCTGATGGAACAGGGATTTATGCACGATAATTGGATACAGACTTCGCAGCAGATGTCTCAATGTAAGCCAGGTGCATTGTTCTGCCGCACGTCGGATCAACACAAGAGCTACGACCAGGGAGAAAAAGAAGACAATCTTTATTTTCAATCTTTCAAACCGGTAATAAAGTCTGACAATCTTGATTTGAGCTAAAGGAGAAAGTTTTTTGGCAGAGAGTGAAAGGCAACTACAGATCTGCGAGAAAGCGAGGAGAAAGAGACAGCGTTGTGCTATGGTTCAGGCGAAAAGGATCAAAATGGATGCCTGGAATTGGAAGAAACTACATCAGGTAACAGCGAAGTCCAGTGAATACATGAGAAAAAAAAAAAAGAAACAGCCCTAAAGTATTATTTGTTAAAGCAGAACTCTCTAACTTTTTGAAACTGACCATTTCAGAGTCCATGTTATGATTAAAAGGAACTGTACCTGATTTTTAGAGTCTTAAAAATGAGAAAAAAACAGAACTAGTGCATTTTAAAGTTTGCAGTGGTCCAAAATTATTCTTCACTCACCTTATGCATTCTGAGCAACAAAATTATTAACCACAGTGAGTTTATAAGTTCAGAGAGCAGAGTGGAAGTTTTGCTGTGGCTAACCAACTAGCATGCTAACACATACTTCCTGATAATTGGTCAATAAAATGCTTTCTAATTAAGAGTAGACGGTACACAGAAGACTTATTTTGACCTCAAAAGCTGCTACAATATACACTACCGGTCAAAGGTTTTACAACACCCATTTTTCCCGTTATTTATTGTATTTCAAGTCGTGCAAGTCCAATGAAGAGCTTGAAATGGTACAAAGGTAAGAACTGAACAGCCAGAGGTTAAAAAAAAGATGAAAGATTAAAAAAAAAAAAAAAAACACAAGTCCAAGATCTGTCAAAACTACCTCAGGAAAAAAAAACAAAATGGTGAGAGTGAAAACACGGAGTGTCCAAGCACAGTCTCCAGACTTAGGGCCTGTTCACACGAGAATTTATGGGTAAAAACGACAAAATATTTAATCAGAAGTGCTTTTTGTTTAGACGGGGCTTAAAAATGCCAAAAAAACATCCTCCAGAGTGGAAAAGTTGAATACAGTCCACCCTAGTGTTTCCGGGTACACTGCCCAAGACGCAAAACTCTGGTCAGATCTGCTCACGTCCCGTACGTGTTTATGTCGCATACATCACCGCCTAGCCCAATCGAATTCCACACACTTTCGCGTCACCGTATGCACGCAGATTTTCTCCCGAAAACACTCGTCTAAACGCGGAATAAACAGTGAAGACGTGACTCCACTTTTGCGTCTTCTGTTCAGACCCTCATCAAATAAACGTAGCCTTAAACCCCATCGAGCTGGTTTGGGATGAACTGGACAGAAGAGTGAAGCAACCTACAAGTGCCACACATTTATGGAACTTCTGCAACAGACTTGGGAAGAACTTTCTGAAGAATATTTGATTTCTGTTGTAAAAAGAACGAGGCATGAGTGTGTTCAGCTGTTCTATCTGCCCAAGGTGGACACTTTCATGAATCAAAGTTTAGAGTACGTTTTGGTCAACAGTAAACAGTAAAAACAAGAAAAAGTTGTGGTGTTCTAAAACTTTTGACCAGTTGTGTATCTATACTAGGGTAAGATGAATTTTGACCCAAAATCGGGTACAGGCCCTTTAAATAGTTTGTCGCAAAATAAAAGTAAAAGTATAACCCATACAAATCTGGGAAAATAAAGTCCTCACAGAAAACTGTAAGTCAAATTGTGATTGAATCATATTACTCAAAATGGAATGAGAAACCAAATGACAAAAATACATGAAGGTAAACAAAAGTAAAGCTAAACAGTGTTCAGAAAAGAGCAAAAAGTTACAGAGGTCTGCTTTAATCCAAACTTTCCCTTTGCGTTATGTTTATTCAAAAATAACACGACTAAAATGAGTTGGTTGTTCCCTTGTTTAAGCATACAGTAGTCTGATTTCTATACAGAAGTTTGCCATTTACAGAATATAAAATATCCATATACAGAATTATATAGAAGTCACAGCCTTTTCCAGGAGACCACATGGAACAAGCAATTCACAAGTGTAATTTTGTTTTAATGAATGAAATCAAATGGCTCAGCAAATAAAGACGTTGTTTTGGGAATCTACATTAGCTTAAGTAATTATTGCAAACTTATATACATATTTTCAGTGTATTTGTTTAAATAAATTACCAGTTTAGTCCTAAGTTTGGTGCGTTTTTGCGGTTTTATTTTTCTGAATTTGAGCAAAATTATATGCCAAAGGAGCAAAAAGTATTGTAAAAGAAATCTCCCAATTGCAAAATATATTCAAATCAAAACTAATACTCAGAATTAGGGATGCACCGATCCAGCTTTTTCAGTTCCGATTTCAATACTATGGCTTTAAGTATGCCGATGTCAACCGATACCACTGCATATTTTTGTATATTTTCTTTATACAAAAATAAAATAAGACAAAAATAACACCACATTTGGATTTCTCAAGGAAGTAGAACATCTTTGCGTAAAAAGAAGTTCAAGCTCGAGACTTTCTTGGCCACCTACGACCATAAACTTCAACATCCAACCAGGATATTTGCTGCACCGATATTTGGGCGCCGATATCCGATCCAGCTAATTTTTCAGTATCAACGCCGATATCAGATACTGGTCTCGGATCGGTGCATCCCTATTCAGAGTTCAGGTACTTCTTGACTAAAACACGGGAACCAAATGGTATGTAAGACCTTGTAGATTATGCAGTATTTGAACTATATTAAAGATATTACGCTTTGTGTGTACCAACTACTTCAAAACCCAGCATTTCAAAGCACGCTGAAAAGAAAAAACATCTCAAAAAAGGCAGAAGGAATTATAAAAACTCTTCAATGTCTATCCTTAAGTTCGCAAACGTGGTCTCCCGTGCGGTGCGTGACTTGTAGTTATACGTACATCTTGAATATCTGACTTTCGTTAAACTCTTGAAGCAAAATCTACTTTCCAAGGTCGACTTTATCCGATTTTAATTCCTTCATCTCATCTTTTCAAAGTGACATTGCCTGGAGACCAAGCCCGTAATAGAATGCTTTCATTTCTCATTTCAAACCTGCTTTTGTACCCCTTTATGTTACATCAAAGTCCAAGAGGATTTGTTGAAAGAAATGCACAGTATTAAATCATCTATTGGTCACAACTTATGGAATATTTTACGGGCCACATTAAAAGACACAGTGGTACGAGGTAAGGTTAAAGCTGTACTAAGTAACTTTTCTGGTTTAGGGTCTGTATGGAAACGTCATTGCCTAGTCTGCAATGTTACGCAGTATGACATTAAATGGAAATATATTCATGACACGTAACTTTTCTGGTTCACGGTCTCCAGGGAAACATTATTGCTTAGTCTGCAATGTTACACAGTATGACATTAAACTTAAATATATCCATGACGCGTAACTTTTCTCATTTAGTGTCTCCATAGAAACGTCATTGATTAGCCTGGAATGTTACGCAGTATGATATTAAACTTCAATATATCCATAAGAACTAACTTTTCTAGTGAGGGTCTCCATGGAAACGTCATTGTTTTGTCTGCAATGTTACGCAATATGACATTAAACTTATAAATATATCTGTGAGATGTAACTTTTCTAGTTAGGGTCTCCATGGAAATGTCATGGCTTAACTTAGAATGTTCCACAGTATGACATTAAACTTAAATATATCCATGACACGCAACTTTCCTCATTTAGTGTCTCCATGGAAACATCACTGCTTAACCTGGAATGTTACACAGTATGACATTAAACTTCAGTATATAGATGAGATCTAAATTTCTGGTTACGGTCTCCATGGAAATGTCATTGCTTGATCTAGAATCTATATCACCAATATCTAGTGATATTAAACTTAAATATATCCATGAGATGTAACTTTTCTCATTTAGTGTCTCCATGGAAACGTCATTGCTTAACCTGGAATGTCGCGCAGTATGACATTGGACTTATTACCTCCGCCAAGGAGGTTATGTTTTTGCCGGCGTTTGTCTGTTTGTTTGTCTTTTAGCAACATAACTCAAAAAGTTATGGACCGATTTTGATGAAATGTTCAGGATTTGTTGGAAATGTGAAAAGGAAGAACTCATTTTGGGGATGATCCGGAAGAAATCCTGGATTCTGGATCACTTTGAAATTTTTGTTAACATTGTGGTAAATGGGGCCAAAAATTTTGTTTCTCAATATCTCGGTTAATTATTGACCAAACCCCGTGAAATTTGACTCAGGGATGGACAATGGGATCCTCTTTCATATTCCAAATTGAAAGATACGAGACAAATATTTATGGAAAACACAATTAATATGAGGGGGACTGTAGTCCTTGGCGGAGGTCTGCGCTTTCTGAGTGCTTTTCTAGTTTATATCTGTATTGTATGTACTCTTTTACCAATACAAAAACCTTTAACCTAAATAAAATAAAAGTATGTTTAAAGCCATACTGTGAAGCATTCCAGACAAAGCAACATCATCACCATGGAAACAAGCAAGTTAAACAGCAAATCAGGATCATATTTAGTCTATGTAATTCTTTTCGCCATCTTACCACAATGTTTAGGTGTTACGAGTGTTCACCCACAATCCCAAAGGTTACGGGTTTGATTCCACCTCTGACTAGTGCGTATTGTTGTGTCCTTGAGCAAGACATGTCACCTAGCAACTAAAATGCAAACTCTTCTATTCTTCATCTCGAAAGGCCCTAAATAAATCATAAGTATTTCCATTAGCTTACTAGTCGATATAATGTACAAATTCATGATAATATTAGACGACCCTGTTCCAACTGCTGAGCTAGGAGTAAGAATAGAAAATAGCGAAAGGTGGATTACGTGACTTTGAACATGACATAGTTGTTGGTGCCAGACGGGCCCGAATTGGTCTGATAATTTTAGAAACTGCTGATATCCACATATTTCCGCTCGGCGCGCTACAGCTCAGAGAATGCCCTAAAAAAGAGACAAAAAAGAAAATTCCAGTGTGAAGCAGTTGTGGGGGTGGGAATCTACTCTAAATTGGTAACTATCAAGAGCTCATTGGCGGTTGTGGTTGAAATGAATAGAATAAGAAGGATGGTTTGATTGGTGTCAGTGTCAATTTTCAGCTTCAGGATTTTGATAAAAGGGTTGAGAAAAATGAAAACTTGCCAAAAATATCAGCTTGGTAGTTTTCAGATTGTAAAGTCAATGTCAAAATACACCCGCAGTGAAAGGTCTTCGAAAAGTAAAAAGTGGTTTAATCAAGAGTTTATTGACGAAAGTACTTGCGATTTGGATGAGTTACTGTGCTAAATACTTTACAAAATGTTTTCTATGTATGGTAGGGGTCTATATTAATTAGTGGGTAGTGATACATTTTTTTTCAAAACAACTTAATACACTTTCTAGAGCTGTAAACCTTTAGCAGGGCTTAATGCTCAATTCATATTTTTTTGTCAAATCAGATTTTTTTGCAAGGTCGTTCACATTTCCAATTAAATGCGACTTGGATGTGATCTCCAGTGTGAACTTTAAATGCCACAAAAGTGTCCCACATGCGAATTGGAGGACACAACGACGTCACATGCAGCGAGTGTGCCCAGTATTTACGGAAGTAGCCAAAACGCTGAGCTTGTCTCCCAAAATACAATCCAGTACTTAGTAAAATGGACAGGTTACACATCCATGGCCGCTTCGTTTGTCTGAGTCTTTAGCCTCCTTTTTATTCTCCGATTTGGCTCGCAGGGTCTTTATTTTTCGTTGACACTGGAGACAGGACCGCTTGTAGCCACACTCATCCATTTCTTTGGCAATCATTTCAAAAACCACCCCGTTCCAATAAGATTTCTCCAGTTTGGTCTGAATACAGCGATCCCTCCCAAATATTAATAAAGTCGCTAACCTCGCTTTCCCTCCATTGACGAGACTCCGAGCCTGACGTGTAGGTGGGATGAATGCGACCTGGCCGTTCAGACTGAAGTCGCATGTCAAAAGATCGGATATGCATCGATTTCAGGAGCACATATCTAAGTGACCTGGGTCGCATTTGAAAAAAATCGGATCTGTGTCGTTCAGACGGTCATTAAAAGATCAGACACAGGTCACATAGGGGTGAGAAAAACAGATTCAGGTCACTTCAGGCTGCAGTCTGAACGTAGCCTTAGTCGACCAATCAACAGTAGATTTAGGACAAGACACAATTTTAATAAGTCGAAGCACAATTTGTAATAAATAAGTAGCACGAGCCATTTCACAATTTTGGCTTCACTATTTGTATTTATTTTATACCTTTGCAGCCATTGTAGTACTACTTTTTGGAACTACAACTTCTCAGATTGTATAACTCGCCAGCTCTTAACTCTTTTTTTAATCCAAGCCAAAAGTAAATTCAGATGGAAAAAGATCATTTTTCTCATGTGTGCACAATCTTGTAGCAATTTTGTCTCGCGAGATCTTTTGGCACGAGATCTTGTCTCATCACTAATCGTCAAATTTTCTTGAGTTTTAAAGAATTGATATGGGACAACGACAGAGAAGAGAATGAATGGTGTGAGTTAGCGAAATAATTTGGGTTTGAATTCCTTGCAGGTGTCGTCTCGTGAGTGCTGTTTGGGTCAGATACGGTCAGATCATTGCAAGTTTTGCCGCGCCCCCTTTTAATTGTCAAATCGATTGTCAGTCGGCCAAGAATTAATTTGGTCGGGTACAGCCCTAACAGTTTCTAACGACTGCAATGAAACCTGTTATTGCACCACAGCGTTTTGACACTAGTGGAATATACATGGGACAACTGGGATAAAACCATTGACCTTTGGGTTTGTGGGCGAACGCTTTAACCACTGAGCCACTGCCACGTTAGTAAGCAAGTTGGAGTTCGCCGCTATTGTTTTTCTTGGACTGTTCCCTTGTACGGCTTTAAACTAATCTCCACGGAGACGGCAGACGTAAGCACTGGTTGAAACTGGGATCAAACCGCTGACCTTTGGGTTTGTGGGTGAACGCTCTTACCACTAAGCTACTGCCTCCGTTAGTAAGCAAGTAGGTGTGGTGGTGGAGACCAGGCCAAGTCCCAGGTCAAATCTGCGGAGAGGCGATCCCACTACGGAAAGAATACATGTTTTTCAAGACAACAACAACAAAAAACCCAAAACATAATTGAATAAATGCAAGATATACAAGTTTAAAGCCATACTGTGAAACATTCCAGGCAAAGAAACAAAAGCTCCATGAAGACAAACAGGAAACAAATTTTCTACCAGTTTTCCAATAACAAGCAAGTAGGTGTGGTAGTGGAGACCAGGCAAAGTTCCAGGTCACATCTGTGGAGAGGTGATCCCACTAAAGTAAGAATATAGGTTTTTCAAGGCAACAAAAAAACTCCATAATTGAATAAACGCAATATATATACCATTTTAAAGCCATACTGTGAAACATTCCAGGCAAAGAAATAACATCTCCATTAAGACGAACATGTGACAGAGCCTCCACCAGAAAAGTTCCACAGTTCACCTATAATGTATCTAATAAAAAGGCCAGTATATAAACCAGTAACGTCTTATCAAGTGATGCCTCTGTCAATCCCAAATGGAATCCGAACTTTATTCCACCGAAAGATTGGATTCTTTTTAGCAGTTGTACACTACACGCCGCGCGCAGGTCTAAAAACAGCTCGGCGTGCCCTGGGATGTCAAATGCAAGTGCTGGATTCAATATAGCAGCAGAGATGGGGGCAAAGATTGAAATATGGGCCCGAACACAGCCCGTCTATCTGGGGTGCGCGGTGTTTAATAGACATGGGAGTTACTGGGGCATGTTATGGCTGCCTGCTGTACACGTCCAACGCTGGCTTCGCTTTTGGGATTGTTAGCAGGTTGGAGGAAAGGGGGGGGAGATCATTGAGCGGTATCTGACAGAGCCACACAAATTACAATTCTAGCTCGGGTTAAAATATGGATACATGAGGAGTAAGTTGGAGAAAGGTGTGGTTTACGAATTATATAAGAAAATGCAGTTTTGTTTTTAAGGTGGCAGAGAACTCTTCTTCAACTTCTTGGGCACTTTCATAGCTTTTTATACATCGCTAGTCTATACATGATATGGCTACGCCGGGTGAGTTTAAAGGCAAAATTTGATGAGTAGGCTTTGAAAACTGTAAACAAAAATATGAGTAAGATATGACAAAACGATAGAAGAGTTGTTAAAGGAGAAGTAAGATCCAGAATTGTAGACAATGGTAAGTTTGGTAAGTTCTTTCTTTTTTAATCAATTTTTAAAAATTTTTTTATTACCATATTTTTATGACTATAGGTCGCACTCTTTTCATGGTTTGGGTGGTCCTGTAACTTATATTTCGGTCTGACTTATATATTAAAATGTTCACAGTGACAGACGCGAGAGGGTGCTCTAGGCTTGTTAGTATCTGATACTACTGTGCCACTGTCACTTCACCCTACTGCGCATGTCTCCTGCAGAAAAAGCCGCTATCCTGCTGCAAGTAGTGAAATATTCAGCTGAAAACGGTAATCGAGCAGCAGAAAGAAAGTTTGTAGTGAGCGAGAAACTTGTGAGGGACTGGCGGAAAGCGGGGTTGGAGAACACAGCTTCATGGCAACCAGGAGCTTGCGTGATGCAACTTTCATGGAAGTTATTGGATGGATCGACAAAGCTTGGACTTCAGTGACAACAGAAACCATCCTGCTGGGATTCAGAAAAGCCGGAATAATTCTAACTGGAACTGATGCTGAGTCTGATGACAGCTACACAGAAGGAAGCTATGCTCCGTTTACCTCCGGAGGTCACGGAGTTTCTCCGGATGAAGAATTCAATGGATTTAGTGATTTGGAGTGAGATGGAGAGTTTGTTAAACTTGTTCTGTTGTTTATGCTCTAGTTATCTGAAGAACTGTTCATATGTGACATTAACATACTAGTCGCCTGTTCAGCCTGTTGTTCTCTGTTCTATTGTTATTACTATAACTTGTCTTTCAAGATGAAATGTCGGTTCTGATTTTATAAAATAAATTTCCCCCAAAAAGTGCGACTTATAGTCTGATGCAACTTATATATGTTTTTTTTTCTTCTGCATTGCGCATTTTTTGACTGGTGTGACTTATGCTCTGGAGCGACTTATAGTCCGAAAAATACAGTACAAAATGAAATGTGGACTGTAAAAACATATATGCTTAAAACTAGCAAATATGCAAACTCAATAAAATATAACTTTCCTTACAAGTTGTATGAACATTGTCCACAATCATAATTTTTATGATATGGTTGCTAGTCCCTTATTAGTTGTTAGCTGGTGGTTAGCTTGCATTACAAATTGTACTTTTTTTTTCATGTTGACAGATTTAGCAAGATTTAACTTATCTTTAACACCTTAAAAGATGCACTAGTTAACTTTTCCGGTGGAAGGTTTGCCAGTTGCTTGTCTCCCTGAAGATGTTATTACTTTGCCTGGAATGATCCCCATTTTGGCATTAAACATTTATACTTCCATGGAGACATGTTTTTTTTTTTTTTTTTAAACCAATAAAAACACCTTTCATTTCATATAAGCAGATATACAATGCCATACTGTAGAACCTTTTCAGGCAAAGCAATTACATCTCCATGGAGACAAGCAGGTGTCAGATCATCCATCAGAAAGCATAGTGCTTCTTTAATCAAAAAAATGGATCGAGCTTATTAAACAACTTTATTGGACTTTTATCACTGCGGGAAGTATAGTACTGATAGTACAAACTTTGTCTTTACCCAAACCACCACTTACTTCCCCTTTAAAGCATCAAAAACATCTTTGGATCAAGGCTTAATGAAGGGCTCAGACATGATAAAAAGAGGAGAGCTGTTGGATGTCGGAATAAATACACTACGAGCTTTTGGTCTCCCTTCTGCTCTTGATGCTTGTTTATTTTTCTTATAAAAGGCGATTTCTTATGATGTCCCCAGCGTTCTCGTGCCCTTTCACACCGACTCTACCCACAAGAGCTGGAGGAAAGGAGGCTGGTTGGACAGGCGTGACATGAAAACCAAAGAACCACCAGAACTCCACTAGATTTCTGAGTTTTCATATCATCGCATTACATTAAACCTATGATATCATCTCCTCCGTTAATCCGTCTTCTTCTCTTGGGGGTCTTTATCGTCCATTTCAGGCTCTTCCTCCTCCTCCGGGCCCTCTAGCTGGTGTCGAAGCTCCGCCCCTTCCTCCTCCTCCTCTTCCTCCTCCTCCTCATCGGTAAGCCCCTCCCTCTTGTGCAGGTCCATGTCCTCGGAGGCGGCATCGTTGATTTCGGCCGTGCAGATGCCGTAGCACATGAGGCTGATGACGCCCAGGGGCAGCCCGAACAGGAAGCAGCCCAGCAACGGGGAGCTGCGGAACACCGACTGGGGACACAAAAGAAAATTGGTTTTGTTATTCAAATTCTTTTTGGTTCTATATTCAAATGTACTGCAAGATATGCTATAGTTATGCTATAGTTGCCTGTTAAGGTTAAGATAAGGAACACTTTATTGTCCCCCCCATGCCCTCTGCATTTGACCCATTGTTCAATGTCGCTGGGGGATCTCATCCCCTCCCTGTGATCTTGTTGCAAGGCTTGGTCAGGACAACCTTAGCTGGAGGATTTCAACTATGGTGTATGCTTTGGGCTGATGGGAGAACCAGAGTGCCTGAAGGAAATTCACCCAGACACGGGGAGAACATACAAACTCTGCACAGAAAGTCTTGAGAGACCCGAGGATCAAACCCGGAACCTTCTTGCTGTGAATCTTGAGTGCTATCCACTCAGCCATTGAACAGACTAAAGGGAAGAGTGAGGGGGAGGAGGGGCGGAGTCTGGAGGACGGGAGAGTGAAGTGCACTTCTAACTCTGCTTCTGGCGTTATGCATCTGATTGATCCACACAGAGGTGCCTCTTAAAATGCAGTGTAAAAGTGTGGTGTAATCCTGATCTCGTCAGATCTCACAAGCTTAGTCTGGTTAGTATTTGGATGAGGGACCACTTTTGTCAGTCTGCCCCAGGGCAGCCGTGGCTACAACAGTAGTTTACCACCACTGAGTGTGGAGTGAATGAATAATTCATCTTTGTGTGTCTTGTAAGCCACTATATAAATCCAATGCATTATTATTATGAATCCCTCAGTCATTCAGGTCGGGTCCACAGCAAAGGAAAAATTAATTCTTTCAGCTGGTCAAAGTTCAAAAACTTCCGTGCATTTGACTGAATTGCATTTTCTTTTACTATGCAGTGGCAGAGTTTAACTGTAGTTGACAGTACACATAAAACTAACAGATTTGACCACGAGGCTACAAACATTCACCTATTCTGAACTGAAATGGCAAACAGTTGACCAGGAACAGTAGAGAATACCACAACAACCCCACTGTTGATGTTAACTAACTGTTTAGCCCCACTTTAAGTCCTGATGAGGACTACCTTGCTGGAATATTAGAGGACTGCAGATAACAAAGCCCACACTGGTATTAGAATTTGCTTCCTTGTTTTTGTGAGGTGAGCAGACTAAACACATGCCACCATGAATGCACCCCAGGTCTGTTCATTTGTGAAAAGCCTGTATTCTTCAGCTGTCAGTCACACTCTGTGGAGAGGAAGGTTGTTTCCAGTTTCCTCCCTCTCCTGTGTGGGCGTGATTGACAGCTGAGGAATCAAGGCTTTACCGAGGCAAGGGAACAGAAATGGGACGTGGCCTACGTTTCCAGCAAGCCATTATTCTTGCAACTAAAAAAATAAACAAATTAAGGCACTTACAGTTATTGGAGCGAAGACAACTGAATGCCTTAGATTGGTTCATAACAATAAGATTTACACTCAATAGCAACTAGTATATCCAAGAAGTCATGTTTAGGGACTTGCAACTGCACAAACATGTATAAAGGTGGTTAAAAATATTGAAAATCAGATACTAATCGACACTAAAACTAGTATCAAAACTAGATACTCATTTGAGCACGTACAGGATAGAAATGAACCTTTCCTGAATAGTTTTAAAATGATCTTGAGCTGTATCAGAACAAGTATAAGAGCACATAGACTAGTATACACCCACGGACCACTACGGAACCTACTTGGACCACTGAGGGATTAGACAGATGTTGAAAATCACATTCTATTGTCTAAATCAAGTGTTTTTAATTATCATTGTCTTTTCCTTAGTATCGAAATCGAGTTTGAAATATTTGTATCGTGACAACACTAGTAGAAGTTAGGAAATTTCTACCGGATACATTGAAATACAACTGCACAAAATCTATAAAAACATGGAAACAAGTTTGATTAAAAAAAAAAAAAAAAAAAAGGCCTGTCAGGGGGCTCGGTTTAGCATCTTGACAATCACTCGGCTTCGTTAATGCAGCTTTATTAGAAATGACTGACACAAAGCATCCGTGCGGAACTGCAGGTACGGCGCCTCTGGGTAAAGCTCGGAGCTGTTGCCTTGAGCAGTCAAACTTTCCACCACCTCCGCAACAGAAACGTTTGGCTCTCGCAAGATTTGGTGATTCAGGCCCGTGTTATTTTGCAAGAAAAGGTCAAGCGCTTTGTGTGTGTATAGAAGATTGTTGGAGACTATTTTATAATAACTTTGCTATTTACAGCCTTAAAAAGCATTAACAAAGACTGAACTCATAATGAACAAGAACAATTCAGGCTTTGAAACTTCTATGGTTACTGTATTTACGGTCATGAACTTGATTTTTTTCTGTGTATTTGAGCAAATAAATAAATTGTATAAGTTGCTATTGAGGTCAAAATAAGTCTGCTGTCAACTATGCAAATATTTCTGAGGTGCTTTCTTTTCAGCAATCAGAAAAAGCACTCTTAGAATGCTATTTGTTGTTAGCAGTGTGACGGCAATGACTTAATGACTTCGCTCTGGCTTCTGAAATTCACGAAAAGCGCTTATAAACAAATCAGTCAATCATTAGGATTCAGAGTCTTCGGATATAGATTGTAAAAACATGTTATTTGTAAAGATGAACACGAAATGAAGACTAACTCATAATCCACAAGGTTTAATTAAAAACTTTCATGGTACCAAATAGTCAAAAAAAAATATAACAAACCCACTTAGATACTGAAACTGAAAAAAAAAAAAAAAAAAAAAAAAAAGAAATAGGACAAATCTGTTCTCAGTCAATTCTTGAATAGTTTAAGAATGATTGATTAAGTGATTAAGAATGGACAAAATTTAACTTCTACAGTTATTTAATGTTGGAATTAGTATAATGTAGCCAGACCGGTGCCACCTAGTGCCTCCGCTCAATTTCATTTCTCTCCAGAGACTAGGTCAGGAATCGGAATACACTAGACGGTTCGCAAAAACCCCAGAAGTGCAAGTTTGGGCACCAGCCAATCAGCGAAGAGCCATAAATTCTGTGTTGGCAATGATTCCCGAGATCGAGGATTTAAAGCAGGAACAAAGAGAATGTTTGGTGAATTTTATCAAGGGGAAAGATGTTATTGTCCTTCTTCCTACGGGATTTGGGAAAAGCTTAATATAGCAGTTAGCCCCGTTAGCAGCGCCACAACCAAATAGCAGCAATTGGTTAAATAAATGTGTCTTTTATTTTATTTATTTATTTATTGTTTTTATCCATTTTATTTTTTTAGTGCTGCTTTTATGTATTGATTTTATTATTTTTGTTCATTGATTTTATTATTTTATTTATTTATTCTGTTAGTGTCCTTATTAAAAAATATATATATATATATATATATATATATATATATATATATATATATATATATATATATATATATATATATATTTTTTTTTTTAAGTAAAATGTTTTGCATTGCTCTGTGAAGCACTTTGGAAAGTATTTTGTTTGTAAAATGTGCTATACAAATAAAGTTGGATTGGACTGGAAATAAAAAAATTTACCCTCCTACCTTCGAGCGAATAAATTCTATTGCCGCGAAGGTCAGACGGTTTCTACGAAGTGAAACTGGCTGATGAATCACGCAAAGTATGATGCATTAGCAGTATAAGAATGATAATCACTGAGAACGGTAAAAGAGACTACATGAGTATACTGTATGACAAAGTGTATCTTTATAACTGGTAAAAGTATATGTTTTTTTAAGGATTTGTTGCAGACCATATGTGGTGGATACCTCTGCCACCACTCCATAGTGTCAGAATCATTTCATTTACATTAAGTTAATTGCATTACACATACTTTAATTCCTTTATTTAGACTTATATTCTAATTTGAGTGCACACATTTAGTTAATTTAAGTCTGTTTTTTTGAGCACTGGACAGAGGACCCTTGTGGGGGGGGGTGTCTAGTTTGTTAAAGGTCATTTTATTATCACTTATTATTTTCTGTATTATAATTATTTGCCTTCTTGTTGCTTTGGTTAAGTTAGTAGTTTTAGTTAATTATTTTGTGTAATTGTGTTTGGTTTTAGTTGGTCCTCATGTATTTAAACACCCCTGTTCCTTTGTCTGGTTGGGTTAGTTTTGTTCTATTCAGTTTGATTTAAGTTACCTCGGTTAGGCCGGACCTTTTGGTTATTATTTACCTAACTTGGGCCTTTGTTAAATTATATCTTTTTTTGACTTTATTAAATTTAAACTGATTTTTATACATTATCTTTGCTTTTCTGTTTGGTCCACTACACCGTACAACCTCCAAAGCAACATGTCGCTCATCATTGCACCAAGTACATGAAACCAAGACAAGCTTCAAACTAATGTGTTTAATAGGCAGAAAACATGACTCAAATTCCTAAATGTAATCAGCCTTGATGGATAGAATCTAAAATGCACTCTCTTTATAAAATTATAATTCAAACCATAAAAAACAAAGAAGAAAGTCATGCCTCGGCAGTCGTGTCAAAGTCGCTTGGACGAGAAAAGAAACGTCCTTCCTCTACTGGGAAACCCTTGATTTGATTATGACCAATGAAATCTCCACTGACATCAGCTCTCAGAGTAACTACATTACTATCAAAGCACATTAGAGGTCATTCAGTATTAATACACCAGCACCATATAACCCTGGGCTCCAAGTCTACCAAGGAAACCATTTTGAATTAAGTAACTCATTGACAAGGTTTTGACTGCCATTTCTGTCACAGTAAGGGCCTGTTTACACGAGAATGGTTGCGGGTAAAAACGACAAAATACTTTATCGTTGTGCCTTTTGTTTAGACGGTGACGGCGTTTTTTTTGCCTTAAAAACGCAAAAATCTGAAACCACCCTCCTGAGTGGAAAAGTTGAATATGCTCCACCGAAGCGTTTCCGTCTACACTGCCCAAGACGCAGAACTCTGGTCAGATCTGCTCACGTCGCCTACGCGTTTACGTCAAATACATCACCACCTAGTGTCACCACCTAGTCACCTGGCATGCATAC